AATGGGCAATTCATGAAAGAGTCAATCCAAACAGCCAACAAACAAAGGAAAAGCTGCTCAGATTCAGCAGTAGGGAAATGCATTTTAAAGTAACAATGAGAGACCACTTTACATCTGCTGCTACTACTTGTTTTTCTGGCAGAAAGTATAGGAATAGATTACCTCATAAGTTGTTTGTGAAACTATGATAAATTATTGCCTTTTTGAAAAGTGAGCTTTATTAAAATTACGTTTTTTATATATGTGTATATATTTATCCACTGATGTAGCATCTCACTGGTAAGTTCTTATCTGACAGAAATACAACTCCCAGAGACTCTGGGCATATGAACAAGGATGATTTTGTAGCATGTTTACAGTTGCAAGAAAAGATGATGAACTGAATGTCCACCAATTGGTGAATGGCTGAATAAATTATGGATATTCACACTATGGAATATTATGTACAGTCAAAAATGAGTCAGAGCTACCTCTGTTTGGTGGGGTTTCTTTGAAGTATTGTTGAATAAAAAAAAGCAAGATGCAGGAAAATGAATGGTCCCATTTTTATAAAACAATGATACATGCAGAAGTGTATTTGCATATAATTTAAATGTGTCTGTCGATGATTATTACTTGATTATGGAGAAAACATACAGAAGGTTAGGCAGAAGAATGTTAATGTTTCCTAGGGTGAGAGAGGAGAATTGGTGCAAGCTGATGTGGGTGGCACAGGAATGACAGAGGGAGCCAAGCCCATCCAACCCTTCTTCCCCCAAATTTTAATGCAGGGGCCTTTGGAACTGGACTCTCTTACCTGTAGCCTAGCCAGCCTCCCACCCCCACAATGCTTGACTCCTGGGACCACTCCCTTGGCATTCCTCCCACCACCCCATATGTGATCTTCCATGTTTTCCTCCATAATTCCAGAATGGGACAGCCAAGGCACTGAAGGGGAGGAAAAGCCTGGAGGGTCCCAGTGGAGGGAGACCTTTCAGTGCATGAAAATAGACCTTCGGGTCTCAAGTATAGATCCTGTTCTCCCCAGGCATTTAGGCAAATTCATGGGAGTGAGTGGAAGAGGCTAGAAGTCATACTAATTCACTTCCATCAACCTAAGTCCTTCAGTCTCAGCTTACAGATTCCACCCTCAGAGACGACTTCTCTAAGTCTGCCCATTTCAGTTACAACTCCCTATTATTTCCTGTCATAGTTCTCATCACAATTTGCCATCTTGTTTTTGTGTGTGTGTGTATATGTGTGTGTGTGTGTGTTTAATGCCTATTTTTCCCCCCTGCGCCCCCGCCCCCCAAAAGTCAGCACCACAAGAGGAGGGAGCTTCTAAGTATAGCACCTAGCATGGTATGTCGCAGGGACTTAAGAAATACCAGTTGAATTCAACAATTTACTACTTACTCTCTTTTTCACTGACTCACTCTTTTCTTCAGTCCTTGATTCATTTCTTCCCTTACTCATTCCAGAAACATGTGCTATTGGCCAATGACTTTTCCCCTGATCTGAATCTTCTACTTTCTAGGGTGGATTTTGGGGGAAGACATGGTGGTGGGAACATGATTGCAGAATTCCGGGAATGCATCCACAACTTGGGAGAGCTGGTGAGTCCGAAGCTCTCCAGGGAAGGAGGGAAGTTTCCAGAAGGCTAGAGAGTCAGAGAGGAAGGTGCTGAAGGATCAGAGAGGACAAAGTTGGGAGCAATAGGATGGAGGCTGGGCATAGGAAGACTCCTCTCTGCCCTCCTCCCTACCCCCATCCCCGCCCCTACAAGGCCCGCATCTTCCCACTGCCCAGCTTTTGCTCCGGCTGTTTGCTCTGCCTGGAAGAGGCTCTCCCCATGCTGAAATCCTACTCTTCCTTGCAGGGCCAGCCCAGATGTCCTCGAAGTCTCCCCTCACTCCTCCAGCTGGAAGGGCCGCTCCCTGCTGCAAACAAACTCCCAGAGCACAAAGTCTGGACCTCCCTCGTGGTGCTGACCACTTCCTGCTTGTTCTGCGGTGCCTCCACCCAATAGGCATAGGCTCTGTCTGCCGGTTCCAAGGGATCCCATGGGGTCCAGGACCCAGCACCCAGCAGATGCCCAAACCACTCTGGCCTAACGTGAACAGCACTGTGTGTTTGGCAGTGGGGGAGTGATTATGATCCCATTTTATGGATGCGGAAATGGAGGCACAGACAAGTGGCACGACTTGCCCTTGCCCTTGCCCTTGCCCCCAGAGCAAAGCAGCAGCATGGCCTAGACCCAGCCCTGCCTTTCTGGCCCCAGAGGCAGGGCTCTTTCCAGGGCAGCTTGCTGGGAGGTGGGAGTAGGGTGGGGTGGGGTGGGAGCTGGGTCCTGAGAACCAGCAGACCAGAGAGATTTGGAGTTCGGATGGCCAAGTTCAGGGAAAGCACAGCTGGGGAGGAGCCAAGGTATTTATTATGCTTGGTCTCCAGCTCCAAACAGAGCTGATGGATGGAGCTGCTCCAGTTCCTATAAACAGCTCGAGCCTCCCTCCCCTCCACCACTGTGTTCTCAGCACCACAGCCCCAACTGCTCCCAGTGAGAAGGGGGTGGGGGAGAGATGATCAAGGGAGGGAGGGAGAGAAGAAGAGAAGAGTGTGTAGTGGGGGCAGGGAGGGGATGGAGAAGATAAGCCAGGGTTCTAGAGGCAAGAGGAACTGAAGGGAAGAGAGTGGTGATAATGAGGGTCTGCCTGAGAAGTCTGCCACCCACTCTTGGTCTTACTGCTGATCTTAATCCCACAAGCACTTAGGTCCTGGAGGGCAGGGCCATCCATTCAGGAAACCATTTATGAACTTGCCTCTGTGTTGGCTCACAGTCCTGGGAGACAGAAAGTGCTCCCACCCTGGAGGCCCATCAGGCAGACATCCTGATGTTGTGGCCCAGGGCTGCCAGCAGCTGGAGGACAAAAATCAGGGCAGTCCTCCTGGAGGAGGTGATGTGGGCAGGGCTTAAAAAGGAGTGTGGCTGGTGGGTCAGGGTGGGTGAGATGTTCCAAGTGGAGGAGGTGGGAGAGAGCCTGGCGTTGGGAGGGTCAGGAGGCAGTGATGCCTAACGGTTAAGAGCCCTGAATCCAGAGAGGAGTGGGGCAAACCTAGTTCAGGTCTTGGCTCTGGCACTTTACAGCTGTGGGAACTGAAGTCTCAGTTTCTCTAAAACGAGGATGATAATAACAGAAAGCCCTTCAAAGAGTATCAGAATTATATCTGACCATGTACATCAAGTGCTCAGTGCAGGGCCTACCCAGAAAGTGCTCAGTAATGGTCAGCTCTGAATAAGAAGTGGGAGGCGGTCAGAGAGAGGTGCAGATGGAGGGCCATGGGGACCTGGACTTGCAGGGCCTTGTGAGCTGCCAAACGACAGGGGCACAGAAAGAGGATGGTGGATCCTGGGCCTGGGGCGGGGGGGGGGGGCGGGGTGCTAGCACAGGGGACTGAGAGGGTGAAGTGCTGGTGTGCCTTGGGTGCTGGCTTCCTCCCCTCCTGCCCAGCCTGGCTCCTGCTGGGCCCTGTGGCTCATGGAGCACTATGACAGCTCACTGAACCCAGTGAGCCAGGGACCCAGGCACTGCCGTCTGTCTGTGCTAGAGGGTGGGCGAGGGCCTCCTCCCCCCCGGAACTTGCCGGATGCTCGGGTGACCCAGATGGCAGCTGTGTCTACATTGGTCTAAAAACAGGAATTTCTGCCTTGCTGGGGGTCTTGGCCAAGTGAGTGAACGCCCCTGTTTGCCAGGAAAAGGGGTCAGGGTGGGCTCCCGGCTGGGTCGGAGGCCCACAGAACCCCGGGCTGAGCTCAGCCCATACTACTGCCTTGCCTTAGGCCTTCACAGAGCACCTACTGTGTGCCAGGGCATTGAGTCACATACCCTGTCACCCGCCAGCCCCATCCATGAAATAGGCATTTAAAATTTAGCTGGGAGCAGGAACCTGGTGGTGAGAGGTCACAGCCCAGAGGAGAAGCTGGGCTGGAGAAATCTCCAGGATACCTGGGGGCTGCGGAGGCGGAGCTGGAACTCCTGGGAGAGGAGTTTGGCACGTGCAAAGGGGGCGGTGTCTGTGTGTCAGGCTGCTGAGAAGGGGAGATGGTGCCACATAAGCACCACCACAAGGGGTTGCAAAGTTGGGGTTAGGGGGTGAGGGGGCCGGGGAGGGCCACTCCCCGCCTTCTAGATTCTTCCTCAGAGCCCCTCACCTGTCTCCCACCCCCACCCCCGGTGAGGTGGCTCTTGGTCCCTCCCTCAGACCCCACAGCCTACACCCTCACCCTCCAACTCCCTTCCAGGAATCAAGAACGTTCTTCTTCTGGCCCCTCCTGGTTTTTCAAAGTTCAACCTTGAACTGCAGCCTGGCTGCCCGCTCTCAATCCTCCAGCCCCTGGAGACCTTCAGCCCTCTATCTGGGGAGGCCGCTGGGTGTCAGGGTAGCAGGGGCTGGACGTTCAGGAGGGACTGGGGCTGGAGACAGAGATGTGGGCATCGTCAGAGCAATGGGGTGGTGACAGCAATGAGGGTTATGACATTCCCGAGGGAAGGGTCCTAGTGATCACCAGAGGCCTTGAGGAGGGTAAGCACACAGTGGAGCTGAAAAGGAGTGGGCTGAGAGGAAGGCATCCAGGGTCCCTCCAGCAAGGGAGGGAGAGACAGCACTGCCTCTGAGATGGGACAGAGCAGGGAGCATAGAGAAAAGTGTGAGGACAGAGCTGCAGAGGAGGGAAAAGCGAGAACATGTTCCTGCTGGAAGCCACCATTTTCTCAGTGGTGGGTGGGGAGTGGGGTTTGTTGAGTGTGAGGGGACAGAGGTGTGCCAGTGGACGTGATGGGGGCTGAGGCTCCAAGCTCCAGAGTGGTGATGACCCAGAGCCTCATCTCCCACCCAACAGTCCTCAGCCTGTCTCCCCAGGGGTTTGCTTCAAAGACTGGAAGGGAAGCAGAGGAGAGCAGGGTTCAAGTGAATGCAATGATGCCTATTACCGGCAGCAAGGAGGAGGCTGGCTGGCTGCATTGTTTCTCCAAAATTATTTTTTAATACATTCATGTGGGTTATATAAAGAGCTGATCCCAAGGCCTGGGCTGTGGCCTGGCTCCTGGGAGGTGAGAGCAGCATTGTGTAGTGTTTTCAAAGATCAGGCACGAAGGCACCCACATCTTGCCCTCCAGGCCTGAGGAAGAGTGTTTGTGTACAGTGAGCACCTGTGGTCACGATCCCAAACAGGACTGACCCACCCAGCTGCCCCACACGCCACCAGGGTCCCCGGCTGGGGCCAGGCCACCAGGTTCTAGCCCTGACTGTGCCATTGACTCCCTGAGTCCTTGACCCTCTCAGGGCCTCAGTTTTCTCATCTGACAAATGGGGTGGGGAGATGGGCATTTTTATCATTTCACACTTTACCGAGCACCATTGAGAGCCTGACTGTGAGCCAAGCACAGGTAAGAGGGTGAAGACAGCACACAGGGTCCCAGGCTGATCCCACAGCTCCTTTCTTCCTGGACAGCCCATGATTCTCTGGCTATGAGAGACAGGGCGTTATATCTTGATGGGATTTTTTACCCATTTTTCTAGGAGAAAAAAATCCCTACATGATGAGGACCGGAAAGAGTTTGGAACCAGCATTATCTTGTGATATGACGCTGAGACAGAAGGGAACCACTCAGTTCCAGTCTCCATTCCCCACCTCCACCTGTCCTGCCCCCCCATCTCACCATGAGGCCCGAATCCACCTTTTTTCCCAAGCTCCGATGCTGACTTGTGCAGCTCTGAGCAAGTCCCATTCTCTCCTTAAGTCTCACTTTCTCTATATGTGCAATGGGAGGTTGGACTCAATGGTCTCAAACTCCAGGCTGTGCTCAATGGAGGGAGAGGGAAGGAAGGAATGCAAGAGAGAGAAGGGAAAAAGGAGAGTCCACCCAGTCTACAAAGGAGGGAATAAAGGAAACTGAGGCAGAGAAGGAGGAGAGGTCTGCGGCTGCCCGTCTTCCCTCAGCCCACCTAGGAGAGCGGAGAGAGAGGAGCGGGTGGGCAGGCACAGCACAGGAAGTTCCCAGGCCCCGTTCTGGCCGTGTAGGATCACTTCCTGCCCACCCAACAGCCTGCAGTCCCTGCAGTGGCCAAGCTCACGCCCTGGACTCAGGAGGGTGTGAGTCTGAACCTCAGTTCTGGGATTTCTTAGCTGAGGGGGGTGGTCCCTGGAGGGAGACTTTTGGAGCCTCTTTTGAAAGTGGAATAAATACCAATCTCAGAGGGTTGTCATAAAGAGGCAGACACAGGCTTGGGTTTGTTACTGCTGCCAAGCCTGGAGCAAAACAGAACCAGATACCTAAGGTTCTAACTCCTGGCTCACCAGCCACGATGGTGCTGGGATGAAATCGGGGGCCTGGGCAGGGAGTGAGGGGCTAGGGCAGTATCTGGGCCAGTGTGTGCAACATGGGAGAGCCAGTTAGGGGAAGAGCCTGTCCAGAGCAAGAAAGGGAATGGTTCAGTACTGGGCTGGCACCCAGGGAGACAGCTCTTCACCAGGCCCTGCTGGAGCCAGCACAGCCCGTCTAATAGCACTGGATGCAAGACGTACTCCAGTGGCTCCAGTTCTCTTCCGGTCACGAGCTCTTTATGTTCCAGAGAAGCTGAAAGTCATTATCAGAAGCTGTGACAAATAGTCTGCTTGGAAATGTCTCAGACAAATCCTCTCAGTTTAGCCCCTCCCTTGCCCTGACCGGGCTGGGGCAGGACCATCCACACTCAGTCAGCTTTAGCTGCAGGGCTTTGGAGCCCAGGCTTCCACACTCTGTGCGGTCACGGCACACTCGGTGACCACCTCCCCACCCAGACCAAGAGATGCTGAGGGCAGGGATGTGTCTTATTTCCTGGCATCCCCAGTGCCCAGGGTAGGGGGCAGAACAAAACAGATGCCTGGTGAAGATTTGTGGATCCGTGGGTCAACCTTACACTCCTAAAACTGCACAACTTCTGGCTTCCACAGCTGGACCACATGTGCAGCCAGGGAAGCAGGTTGCCTACTGGTACAGCAGGATGCAGGAAAAGAAACCCTGGGTTGGGAGTTAGAGACCAGGGTTCTCAGACCCTGGCTCAGACGTGTGACCTTGGATCAGTCCCCACCCTTCTCTGTGCCTCCGGCTCCCCCATGACCTAAAAGGGCCTCCCGGCTAAGCTGGTCTGCAGCCCCAGCCTCTCTAGGCTTTGTACTGTTGGCTGAACTTCTGCCGGCGGACACAGCAGCAGGTGGCCAGCGTGGTGAGGAGGATGGCAGACACCACTGCGAAGGTGAGGATGATGATGAGGCTGACCTTCTTGAGCCCCCCTTTCTCACAGTCCTCAGGACGCACGTGGCTCAGGGACACCTCCTCCTGGGAGCCAAAGCGGCAGATCAGGTCCTGGGTGGCATCCACGTCCACACGGCCCTGGTGCAGCTGGGCTGCCAACCAGCCGTTGCCACAGCAGCTGAGTGGATTGCCCTGCAGGTAGAGGCGCCGGAGGCTGGTCTCCAGGCCGCCCATGGCACTGCCTGGCAGGAGGCTAAAGCTGTTGTTCCTCAGGTCCAGCACCTCCAGGGACACGGCCTGCGTCCAGGCAGGCAGGCGGCTCAGGCGGTTCTCGGCCAGATTGAGCCGCTTGAGGCAACTGAAGCAGGGCAGGTCCACCTGCAGGACTGCCAGCCCATTGCCCTGCAGGGCCAGAACCTCCAAGGAGCCCTCCAGGCCCGCCAAGGCCCCCATGGCCACATCCAGCCCGGGGTTGGCAGAGAGGTCCAGCTCGGTAAGTGGCGTGTGGAGGAAGGCCCCTGCCCGGAGTGTCTCCATCTCATTGTCCACCAGGTTCAGGATGCGGAGGGAGGAGAGGCCAGAGAAGGCCACACAGCCCAAGGGTCCAGGCTCACCTGGCCCCCCACAGGGGCTGAGCCGGTTCCCCTGCAGGTTGAGCCTCTGTAGGCTGGCCAGGCTGGCGAAGGTATATGCAGGCAGGTCCCGCAGGGCGTTGTCCTGTAGGAGAAGTGTCCGCAGAGAACCCAGGGCCCTGGTGCCCAGCTCCAGTGTCTCCAGCGCATTGTGGCTGACGTCCAGGAGCACCAGGCAGGGCAGGGAGCCCATGTGCCGGGCCTCAAAGGCCCGCAAGCAGTTTCGGCTGAGGTTCAGGAAGCGCAGGGAGGTCAGGTGCTCAAGAAAGCCCTCAGGGACAAGCTCAATCTCATTGTGGCTCAAATCCAGATTCAGAAGCTGGGAGAGGGGCTGGGTGCTGGCGTTTCGGCTGGGGCTGGAGAATGGCAAGGCCGACCAGCCCTCGGAAGGAGCTTGGATGCTCTCGCCGCTGGGGGGCGGCTCCACAGGCAGCCGGATGAGGTTGTTGGACACATTCAGGTAAATGAGTCTCGGGAGTGCGGCCAGATCAGGGAAGTAGAGCAGTTTATTCTCCCGCAAGTCGAGCCAGGCCAGCTGGTACTCAGCCTGGGGCTCCTGGGCCGTCTGAAAGGCCTCGATACTGTTGCAGCTCAGGTCAAGTACCTGCAGCTGCTGGAGGCTGAAGTCAGAGATGCAGGTGAGGGAGTTCCTGGAGAGATTGAGGTGCACCAGGTGGGGCAGAGCCTCGAAGGCACCGTCCTCGATGTCCATCAGCACGTTGCTGTGAAGGTCCAGCCGCTCGAGCGCAGGCGTGCCCCGGAAGGTGTGGCGGGCCAGGCGTGTCAGGCTGTTCTCCGCCAGTGAGAGGGTGCGCAGGGCGGGTGCCTCCCCCAGCAGTCGCTCCACCAGGCCGCTGTACAAGCTGTTTCCAGACAGGTCCAGGGATGTCACATGCGGCAGGGAACCCAGACCTGCAGTGCTTAGTGTGGTGCCCACCGCCAGGCGGTTGTGGGCCAGGTTGAGGTGCTCCAGGTGGGGCAGGACCTGGAAGACACCCGGCTGGAGGAAGCTGATCTCGTTGGCACTCAGGTCCAGGTGACGAAGCACCGTGTAGAAGCCCAGGGGTGAGGCCAGGATGCTCCGCAACTGGTTCCCAGATAGGTCTAGGACCTCAATGTCCCGAGGAAGCACTGAGGGGACCTGGAGCAGGCCAAGACCCTGGCACAAGACCTCCTTGTCCACCTGGGGCCGGGGGAAGAGGGTAAAACAGCGGACATTACTGGGTGCAGTAGGAGGTGGAACCAGACACATGTCTTGAGAAAGGATAACTTCAGCCCCCACCAGGCCTAGAGAGGCCTCTCCTTTGTGCCCCAGCATGGTCGACGTTCCTCCATCCCAGCGTGATCAACCCATGTTGGGGTGACCCCTACCCTGCTCTTGGTCCTGACTGTGGTACCCAGTACAGTGCTGGCAACAGGGAAGGACTCAAGGAAGCTTTGATGGGTGGACAGACAGAGATGACAGACAGAAAAACAAATGAACTAACAAAATACTCTGTACTGATTATTATCCCATTTTACAGGAAACTAAGCCATGTATCACCTAGAGTGACCCAGAGCCAGTGAGCAGCAGGGCCCAGCTGAGATCCAGGCCTCCTGGTTCCCAATTCCAAGTTCCTTTCATGGATGCAGAGAATTAAATTTACCTAGCTGGTGTTAGACTGGAAACCGCTTTAGGAAAAATGTTTCCAAGAGGGAAAAATGCTACTTGCACTCCAGTCCTCAGTTTTAATTTTGGCCTCCAACCCTCAGATCTCATTTAAGCCCTTACTCTATGGGGCAGAGCTCTGGGTCCCAGAGCCTGCCTTCCTCACTGATGCTCCCCAGATGTGACCTCCTTTCTGCTGCTGCTACCCACCCCCACCACTGTCGGTGGCTTCACCTCCTGTGGCCCAGTCCCAGTGGGTCCCTGGAGATGGGGGAGGAGGAGGGAGCAGAGAAAAAGATGAGCAGAGTCCCTACGCACTTTCTTTGATGACAAGACTGATTTTACTGTGTGAGCCCAGTCACTGTACAAGTCACTTTACGGCTCTGGATTCAGAAAGTAACTCAGCTCTCCCCAGTGCCCATTCAGCATTTCACATTTTATTTAGCATTTTCAGACCCATGGTCTCACTGGATCTTCACAGCAGCCTGCCCATTGAAGATGATCATCCCTATTTAAGAAACCCACGTTCAGAGAGGGTAGGGAAGGCCCCAGGATCACCCACCTGGTGAGGAGCAGAGCTGGCTTTTGAACCCCAGTCTTTTAATAATCAAAGGCCCAGCTCTTGTCTCTCTACCACATGTGCCTTCAGGGGCCAGAATTCTTTCCATGCAAATGCAGTCTCCCGCTGCCTTTTCCGGCACAGCAGGAACCTCAGTCTTTCCCAGGGTCTGACTTCCATAACCACCCAGCTCAGGCCCACTCCTGCCCTGGCATCTCTGTCTCCACTGACCCCTTCTGACTCAACCACCAGCCAAATGCCTCGCAACTGCTCAAAAACTCCACTCTGACCATGCTGCCCTCAGCTTAAACCCTTTCAGGGAGAAGTCCAGGACCCTCAGCAGAGCTGAAGACTATTTGCAGCCCCTGCTGACCTGTCCCCTCTCCTCCCAACCCACTCCAGCCCAGCCACACGGAGTGACCACACCTGAACACTGCCCACTGTGCCCTCCCACACCACCTCTGGGCCTCCTCCTTGCTGTTCCCTGTGCTGGTTATGCCCTTCCCAAACAGTTCAGCATGGTGAACTCTGCGCTGAGCTCTAAGGTCTCCTCCAGCTGGGAGACTTCCCTGACTGCCAGGCAGGTCAGGGCCCCCTCTGGGCTCTCACAGCCCCTGTGCTGCTTCTCTCATAGCTTTAGCCCCCTGAATTGTGACTGTCTGTGTGGGGACCTGCTAGACAGTGAGCTCAGGGCAAACAAGGATGGGTTTGACTGGGTGGATGCCTCAGATTCTGCCCACAGAAAGAGCTCCATACATTTTTTTAATGAATGAGAGTCACAGACATCATCGACTTAGTAAAGGTCTGAGGGTCTGGCCTAGTCACCCTTCTGAAAGAAAAGCAAAGCCCTAATTCAGACTAGAGTCAAAGACTGTGAGAGCAAAAAGGGTCCCACCCACCTACCTCCCAGTTGGACAGCCAGAGCCTGAAGACAGTAATGAGCCACACAAGGTCACAGGGAGTCAGTGGCTGACTGACAGGGCAGAACACCAGTCCGGGTGTTCTCTGCCTGGCTTAGCTCTTGGCTTCCTCCCAAGAGCCCCAAGGTAAGGAGGAGGGAGGAGCCGACTGCCCTCCATCAGGCATGCATGACTCTTCCAACTCCACGCAGCGCAGTGACTGGCCCTACTCAGAGGCCCGGGGATACCCCTGCAGTTGGGCACCTGTGCAAACTGGAATCCTACCCTGGCCATCTTTGCCACACCTGCCTGACCCCTTGCCCCTTCCTCCCTCACAACCTCTCTGCCAGATGGGGCCACTGGGCATAGCACCTCCATTCATATCCTCAGCTCCCTGGACTCTCCTGATTAAGGAAGAAACAGCAAAATGAAAGGAGCACAATGATGGTCACTACGTGGGGAGCACCAGCTCAAGTCAGGTTTGTGCCGTGGGCACAGATCCCTTGCCTCATTGAGTCTTCCTGAGCATTATATACCCCACGGTACCCTCTAAGGAAACTTGAGGATCGGGGGTGGCCACCCCAAATCAGATGGTCAGAAGCTCAAAGCTACCATTGTGAATGCCTTTCCCTATTGGTGCTGGCCGAGTTCTGACCACCAGGCTCTCAGCTGCTCAAATGCCCAGGCTGATTCCTTCCACCCAGTAAATAACGCCAGCCACCATTTCCTGAGCATCTACTGTGTTGTGGGGGGTGTCTTATCCCCCATCCAAGTCCATACCCCGTTTCACCTCTGGATACTCAAAGGCTCCCTGGGGCACCAGGCACCAGCCCTCAACAGCTGAGCCAGGACACTAAGCTGACCAAGCCCAGGGCCTTGTCTTGCTTCCTGCCCAGGGCCCAGGACCCCTGTCACCGAGGCTCAGAGGGGGCTACTGTGAGGCAGGGCTGCAACGTCCAGTCTAGGAAGGAGCCTGAAGGCCAAGGCAGCTCTCAGAACCCCATTTGTAGGGCACCCACAGCTCCCTGAGCTCTGAGACCCCAGCATGAATGACTTATGTGGGGAGGGGTCTTGGGGGCATCAGCCCTCAGCCAAGTTCAACGCTTCTCCTGTGGACCCCCTACCCAGCCTCTCTGGGATGCCAGGGTGCCACTGCTCAGCTTTTGTTCTGTTTTGTTTTAGGAGGGAAGAGGACTTTCCACCAACACCATCTGACCACCTGCACATAGAAGGGAAGCAGGGTAGGAAGGGTAGCCGGCAGTGGAGAACATGAGCCTGGGAGAGCGGGGCTCGAATCCTGCCTCTGTTACTTCCTATCAATATGGCCCTTGTGGGTCACATCTCTTCCCTCAGTCTCATTTTCCTCAGATGAAAAGAGTAGTTCTGGGGAGATAAGACAAGAGAAACCACTTAGCCTGGTGCAGGCCCCTTGTGAGCCCTCAGCACATGGCAATTTCTTTTTACTATTTTGAAAAGCATCACAGCTGCTTCCACGGAAGTTCAGAAAGTGGGCTCCTGCCTGTTATCTCATTTGCCCCACATCCAAAGCTCACCCAGTTCTGTCTGCCTGTTGGCTGGCCCAAGCCCTTCACCTCTCTGAGCTTGTCGCCCCAGGTAGAACGTGGGGTTGCACTTGGTGACATCCGAGGCCTTCTCTGCCTGTTATCCTGGGTTCTGGGATTCTCAGAAGGGCTCTGAGGAGCAAGAAGTGAGTTGGCAACAGCAGGACACTGGAAACCACAGGGAAGGGCTGCAGCGCCCTGGGTACCAGCATATCCAGTCTCCAAAAGCAGATGCCCATCCTGTGTCATAAGTTTCCAGTCCCAGGTCCAAGTGGGGCTGCAGGAGGGCCCATCCCTTCCCTAGCTAGTGCTCTTGCCTTGACCTCAGTGACTGCCCAGCTTTACAAGTGGATCTAGGTGGTCCATTTTCTCTGGACCCCACAAGGTCACAGTAACCTCACAGCTAGTCTTCCTGACTCCAGGTAGGAAAAATCAACAAAGTGAATCAAATGTGGTCATTGCCCTTGAGAAACTCTTGGCCTGGGAGCTGAGACAGATGTGGACCCATTCACCAACTACCCCATGTACTCAATGTTGAGATGGAGGGAAACTTAGGGCTGTGGGAACCCAGAAAAGGGAGCAAACAGAACCAGGTCAGCCTGGGAGGGGTCAGGAAAGGCTTCCTGGAGGAGGCAGCATTTGACCTGGGTAGTAATAAGTAAGAGGCATCACGGCAGGCATGTGGCAGACAGGCCCAAGTTAAGGAGCCCAGTTAGGGAAGGGGATTTGTCCTCAGGAGGGACCCAGTACAGAATACCCTTTCCCAGCTGCCCCTCTCCCCACAAAATCCCCAACACATACACATATACTTCATCACTCAGCTGGATCCACTGCCATGTAGGGGCAACTTGAGGGAATAGAGTCCAGTACTGGCCCTAGTTGAATGGTCTTGGACAAGTTACCTAACTTCTCCAAGCCTCAGTTTCCAATTCTATAAGGTAGGAATAATGGTACTTACCTGGCAGGGTTAATAGTAAACAAGGCACTTAAACATACTAGTAGGTACTCATCAAATGCAAGGTTTAAAGGCATTAAATGCATTCCCTTTCCTCTCCTGACCCCTCTGGCTTCTGGCTTCTGAGGTGGGGCAGTAGGACACCCTAGGGTTTCAGGTAACAGACAGGGAGATCTCCCTGCCTGGGCAAAGCTCCTTACCTTCTTACAGGGTACTTTGTCTCTGTGTTGGGAGGTAGCCAGGCCCAGGGTCAGCACGGCCAGGAGCAGCAGGATCTGGTGGCTCATGGCTCTGCAGAGGGCAGGAGGGAAGGGGAACACTAAGACCGCAGGCTCCTTCCCACCACTGGCCCCCACCACTCCCTCCTGTCTGCACCTGCCCACAGGGAACCTATACCACAGCTGTAGTTGCACCAAGGGTGCCCTGAATGGGGAATCTTGTGAAGGGGGTGGGAAATGGGGCTGCAGCCCATCCCAAAGGGACCACCAGTGCCAGGCCAAGGAGTTAGACCATTATCCTGGACAAGAGTTTTGTCAGATTTGGGTTTCAGAGACCCACCTAGTGGAAGACAGCCTGGAGGGGTTAGAGGGAGCAGAGGGACCCTAAGGGATGCCCTTGGCTAATCTCAGGGCTGGGGTGGGGTGAGGTGGGGGAGCTAGACCTCCAACTCCATTTCTATCCAGGGCACAAGCAGGTCCCCCATCCTAGCTTTTCAACCCCCAAGTGGAATTTCTCAGTCCCTCACCCCACAGCAGACTTTTATTTTGCCCTTTTTTCTTTTGATTTTCTGATTCTCAAGTCCTTGCCATTGTTTGAAGGCTGGGCCTGGAGCCTTGACAGGAAGCCCCACCGGAGGCCTGCCCTGCCCCCAGCACTGTGGCTGTGGACTTCCCCAGGAACAGGCTGCCAGGCCCTTAACTTTCACTGAAGCCACCGCCCGCGCAGTGGGACACCCAGGCCTGCTGGGCCAGACCTTCTGTCAATGAGCAGCCGGGGTGAGGTTGAGGGGGACCACAAAGCTCTCAGCAGGGCCATATTCTACTGTTGCTAGGGGCTCATTCACTGAGAACCTGGGCCAAGTGCTAGGAATACACAGCTCAATATATCATTTCATTCATTCACACCTCTACTGAATGCCTCCTAAGATCTGTTTCTGTGATGGGAACTGGGGACAAAAATAAAGGCATAGAAGTGACCAGAATACATACAGAACATTAAAAAGGAGAGACACATAAAGCCATCCAAGATAACTGTACTCAGAGTCACCCACACTGGACTGCTTCCTCTATCTCCCCCACTTACCTGGTATGTGACTTTGTACAAGTCACTTCACCTCTCTGAGCCCCAGTTTCCTTTTCTGAGGTTAATGCCAATCTTGTCAAGTTTTGTTAAAGATCAAATGAGACATTCTATGAAAGTGCCACTTGCCCTCATGATGCATCAGGCCCTCTTCTCAACACTTAATATGTATCAACTCATTTAATCCTTACAATAACCCAACAATCTAAGTCCATGATTACCACTCCCATTTTGCAGATAGGAAAACTGAGGCTCAGAGAAATCAAATAAGATGCCAAAGGTCACACAGCTAACAAGTGGCAGGCCCCGGAAGTCTGACTCCTAGGTCTCTGCCATTAATCTCTACACTATAAGATCTCCTGCAGGTGCTCAATAAATAAGCACTAAATTGTGACTCTGAGGGATGTTTTAGAAGAGGCATTTATAGGTCCTCTAAGGACTGAGTCTTCACTGTTAGAACCCATAAGTATCCTTGCTATGAATTTTAAACAAAGGTGGGTACTCTGAGGTCTTTCCTTGCACAAAGGCCCCCCCAGGGGTGTCTTTCAAGCCCTGTCCCCTGGGTTCCCCCTGGGGCCGATGGGCCCTGCTGCACAGCTGTTCTCTTCTCACCTGCGTTACAGGTTGGACTTTCACAGGAAATTTTGTTCTGCTGTTTAAAAAGCAGAACTTCACCACCCTTTTGAATGCTAGTGTACTCAGAATTGAGTGGAAACTCCTCAGTGGGGCCTTTGAGTCCCTTGGAAAGTGCACCCTGTCCGGCCAGCTCTTCTCTCCTGCTTCATTTCTCACTGTCCCCAATTCCAGTCTGGGTTCTGGAAGCCTCTCATTTCCTTCGGTTCTCTGAGCACTTTTTCACTGCCCCAAACCTTCACTTCCTCCCCTTTCTATTTGCTGAATACCTCCTCCATCCTTTGGGTCTCAGCTTAGATGTGACCTCCTCCAAGAAGCCTTCTCTGGTTCTCCAAGCCTGGGCTATGTATTGGCCCCTCCTCCAGCACTGAATACGCTGTGGTTCCCTCCCCTTCACTCCTTCTAACATGGGACCTGACCCCAGGGCCAAGGGGCTTCACTTCCCTCTGGGACCCATCTCACACTACCCAGCAGGCTGGGGAAGGCACTGAGAATTGACACAAGGTGTGTCGGTGACATAGTGACATCAGTGAGAGCAGTTGTTCTCCTGACTCTTCCTTCACCTCCCTGCCACACTCTGTCCCTGCATCGGTAGGTTCTGTCTGCTCTCCCCCAAAAATGGACCCTGGACCTGCCTACCTCCCTCCTCCATCACTGCCACAGACTGAGGCACCACCCTGGGCCTCGATCCCAGCACCCTGTTTCCACCCTGACCTTCTTTCAGTATGTCCTACACATAGCAGCCCGAGAGATGTCTTTAAATCATATATCTGATCATGATTCTCACTGCTTGCAAACCTCCCATAAAATCTGGCTTTATACAATCTCTTTTCTGACTCCATCTACCATTTGCCCTTCCCTCACCAAATTCTAGCTTTCTTGCCACTCCTCAAACACAGCAAGTGCATTCCTGCCTCAGGGCCTTGGCCCTTGCTGCTCCATCTACCTGGAATGCTCTTCCCCAGACCTGCACATGTTTTATTGTTTTCCTCTCAATGACCATATGATAGTTTATTTCTTATTCTATGAGAACAGTGGTCTATTTAGTGGTGCTCACTAAAGATCTATTGAACAAACAACAAAGCAAGGGAGAAAATAGAAGTCCATTCCAGAGGGCTGAGTGGTAAGTGCTAGGTGAGGACAAGGAAGGACCTGGATGAGTTCTTAACTGCTGCCCAAAGGGACCCTCGTTTCTCCCTCCTCGGCCTGCCAAATCCCACTCTACCCGCAAGGTGGGCATCTGAGCATCAGGCAGGGACCCTCGCTGCAGCTGTGGGCACCCTTAAGCAGTGCTCAAGACACAGTGTGTAGAATTTGAGGGCTACTTGCTCTCAAGAGGGAGGACTGGGATCACTAAGACCCAGGCTCACATCTAGACTCTACTGCTCACCAGTGCTGCTCGCTAGGGCAAGTCCCTTAAACTTCCAGTGCCTCAGCATCCCACCTATAGGGCAGGTAGCCTGGTTCCTGTTTTGCCACTATCTGCCCCCAACCATTGTGATGATCAAGCTGAGAATGGCTGTGAAAGCGCCCTGGATACATATTATCTTTCCCAGTTGGGACAAACCTGTAGGGCTGAGCAGCCCAAGTGAGGCATGCTGAAGAGGATGCCCCCAGGCCTGCAGCCTAGGCAAGAGGAGGCAGAAGACATCTCAGGACTCTGATTGGGATGAGAAGTGCCAAAGAATATCCGTGTGTGTGTGTGTGTGAGAGAGAGAGAGAGAGAGAGGAGGAGAGAGAGAGAGAAGGAGGGTGGGGTAGGGTACGTCCTTACTACAATAATAACGCCTACTACCCGTTATTAGGTTAAGTATTAGTTAGTAGTCGT